ACCCTGAATGCCGCGCCGTTTCAACTGCGTTCATTCCAACGGGTGCATTGCTGAGAGCACAAATACTGAAACTGGAATCTTTGTGAGCCTCGGAATTCTGAACTTTTTGTTGCCTAAACTGTTTAGGGTAATTTATGGTCCTGGTTAGTTTATGGTACACATTGCTGTCGCCAGCATGAAAATCCCACAGATTTGGCGCGGAGATATTTTTTGCAATGCACGAATACGTGAAAGGGGAGTATGCATAGGCGTAGCTGGCAATGCACGCGGCGTCTAAAGTGTTCAGCGACAATTAGTTGCTAAGTACTGTTCTGAGAAATTCTGCTTGTTTCAGTGACGACATTCGAAGGTCATGCTCCTCAGTTGGCTGTGTCTGTGGCACAGTTGGCAGATCTGGAAAGATCCCTGCAATCAAGCTATCTGGCAGCCGTTGGTGACAGATTCCGCAAGATTATTGTGACTTGAAAAATTCCTCTACTGAGCTAATTCCATTGTTTTCTTTTTCCTTTTAATGCATGGAACATTTACAGAATCTACAATAATATGAGATTATTCGGCGCTATTTTTTCTTTAGCACCTCACTTGCCAAATCTTAGATCGGAACTTGTTTTTGGCCAGAAAATCGTTTCCAGGGATACTTTGACTCTATGAACACTGCTATCGTGGACGTGATTTTCGTGTTTAGTCGGTCAAACTGCTTCGGCCAGAAATTTTGTCTTCGCAAATGAATTTGGACAATAGTTTAGCGCAGTTTTTGAGAGATGAGGTTGTAAAGGGCAAGTAGTGTTGGCATTCAAAATATGGGCGCTGATAACCTTGCAGGAGGTATTCAGAGGACTCCATCTGCAAGAAGGAGTCACCTTTTTTGAGTTTTCTGCAAGTAGAATTTTGTTTAGTAGAGTCACTTGAAATTTCATCCGCTAATGCGATCTTCCACATTTCCTTGGCTTCGAAAGGAGAGGGGTGGGGGCGTATAGCGCACGTGAAACGAGAAAACCGAAAAATCAACAAACAATACATTTTCCCGAAGGGATTCACGACCCCCACCCCCAATTCCCCCCTCCAGCGACCAAGTACACCCTTCCCACTTGCTGGAGGTGCGACGTGTCTGGGTGGATATAAGTCGTCAAGTACCTTCGCCTCGATCAAAAATGTGAAGGAGTTCCGAGATGGGTGAACCAAGAGCAAGTGCGGTTATTCTATTCGTATTGCGTAAATCCCAATTTTATAGAAGGGCTCCTTTAGATGTCCCTTTCAAGGTGATTAGCGTCGAAATGCGACTTCGGTTTGTCAAATGCTTTGCGATTG